TCTTCTCCCTCTTACCTTTTCGGCATTACTCTTATGGCAGAATTTGCTGCTCCTCTCCCTCACACATGAAAAGTCGCAATTTCGTGGTTTCGTCGGAGGGGTAAACGGGACCGTGAAACTGCGAGACGATTTACGATAGAACGATTTACGAAACGAATACGAAAACGTACGGCACATTTCAATAAGAGCACATATTTGGGGTAGATTAATAAAAGGTGAGGCACTTCGACTGAAGATCGTGAGGAAACACTAGCGAGAGAGGCTTAGATCACCAAGACCTTACCTCACCAGGGAATATGACACTTGCACTCGCTCTTTTCTTATTGCTTTTCTCCACTTCTTTATTTGGGTATTGAAAAGGGAAGAGGAAAATCTTCCCGTTTCTTTTGCATTTTTTGCAAACAAACACATTGCCAGAGATCACGAAAAAAAATGTCTACATAGAATAATTCATCAATACACTTTTCACTTATTTCATTATTTTGCAGTCGCCGGCTCTGCGTTTTGTATGCCATTTTGGCGACGGAGAGACAGAGAGCGTCGCTCTTTTCTTTTTGCTTTTCTCCTCTTCTTCAAATTGGGCATTGGAAACAGCGCTGCTCCGAATTTTCTGCATGCACACACACACGTTTACAAATTGCCAGAGATCACCTAAACGAAAAAAAAAGATTTATGCGTTGAACACTTCATTTTCGCAGGAACTTTTGCTTTCCATTTTTGCACCCACTTCACTTCACCTTTGCACAGAATCACTATACTGCACTGCACCACTGCCCGTCTATTTTCCCGAACGATTTTTCATCGTTTTCCCGATTTTCGCGACCCGTAACGCGGAGCTGACTTAAAACCGCGCGCTTTTGTTCTTGCCGAAAAATGTAAAGTGAGAGAGCGGCGCAGATTTGAATGCGTAGGCGGCTAGTTTCTAGGACATTCCATGCTCTCTTTTCATTCTCATTCTCCTCTCTCTTTCTAATTGCTCTCTCATTGACTTTGAATTTGACTTTCGTGTTCTCCCTCTCCTACTCCAAGCAAGCGAACGTTTCTTTATTTTACGGTTAATGCCAAAAGAGGAAAGTGCTATGATGGCATGTGGCGGGTGAGAGAAGATGAGCAGACCATAAGGAGAGCATGGAAAGTAGCCGTGGACAGCATATAATATATGAGAAACTAGGCCTAATGCGCCAGTGTGTGAAAGTGTGAGCACTTTCAGTTCTTTGGACAAAAGAGAGCGGCATACATAAATTCCCTAGGTTTCTAGAACTTTCCATGGCAATTTGACTTTTGTGGTCTTCCTCTCCTACACCAAGGGAGCGACGGTTTGTGCGTTTGATGGGTGACTTGTTAATGCAGCGGTTAATTGTGAGAAGGGGAAAGTACTGTGCCCCTACGTTGGCATGAGCAAAGGGATAGCAAATAATAGAAGGAAGAGAGAAGAAACCAGTGTCGATATTGGCTCTCAAAGTAATGTACGAGTATGAGAATGTACATGTACATGTACATACATGGGGGTTTGGTTTGCGAATTTATTTACATACATACATTTGTATTTAATTAACTTTTCGGCTGCTTGCACTGTTTTGTAATCTTGTAATCTTTTTAACTGTGACTTTGACCGAACTTCAATTATTTCTGCAGGAAAGATAGCAAAACAAGCTTGCAGACCGCAATTAAAATCCAAGAAAAACTAAACAAAAGCTAACGCTTTTTAATGAATTTTCCAGCATGTTTTTAGGTTTGAGCGAATTGATTTAATTTTCTTTTCTGTTTTATGTGTTTTTTGTTCCAGCACCTGTCCTCTCTGTCGTTTCTGTCCTTCGCTGTTTCGTGTGCCCCACAGCCTCAGGAGCCACGTTGCAAGAGTCGGAGAGAGGCACAGAGTAGAGTCCGCCCTGCCTCAGAGTTCGGGCAAAACGGTCTCGAGTCTCAGTTTCGCTTTCGTTCGCTCTTGTTTGTTGCTTAATTGGAAGGAAATTTAAAAATAAACAAGCTGCGCTAAAAGTAAATACTACACGTTGGCGATTACCTGGACAGGCACACCCCCCACCAGCCGCCCCACTGCCCAAGCAACCACCAAAGGTTGTCCAGCGAGCCAAAACCCACCCAAAGGCCCAACGGCTGTTTGGAATTTAATTTTCATTTCGCTCTTCCGACAGACGGCCGTTAATTTTATCTTCTTGCCAACTGTGGAAATAGATTTTCAGTTTGTTTGTTATTTTAGGACCCGTTTGCAAAGAAAATCCTGCCATTTGCAGCTCTTACACAATGCCTTTTCCACCAATGGTTGAAGAAGGAGATCAAAAATATTTGCAATCAATTTTTACCTTGGAGAAGAGCGGTTCCTTACAAAATATACAAATTGTGAGCACTTTTGTGAATATAAAGGAATATTTCATTCCACAAACAAAGATAAAATCAATAAATTCATGTTAGCCCATTGAGAATATCAACACTTATACGACCGCTCAAGACTGAGTTTCCTTGCCTTGAATCACACGTGCAGTTAGAAGATGGTTCTCAGTGTTTGCCTTGAATTAATTAAAACCCATCGATGGGCAGTAATTGGCACAGCAGCAGCAGCAGTTGAGATATTTGCTAATTGAAGCGAATCTACCACAATAAACGTGGATATAAGACGAGGCATAGATGTGCACATGTACGTTGGACTGCCGAAAAACAAAATTGAAATTCAAGGCAACAGTTGGTGTACAGACGGAGAGTGCTCCTAAGCAAACAAAATTGTTGGCCATTGGCTGGGGCAACACAGCGCCTGAATCTGAATTTGAATCCGAATTCGAGTCCTAGGACAACGAAGAACACTGGGTTTTTGGCTTGTCCCAGGACCCAGAGAAAAGTGTCTCCAACGAAAGTGTGTGTCCAGGGGGTAGTGAGGAGGTTCCTCCATTCGCATAACTAATAAGACACTTATTATGCCGCAGGGCGCCGCGTGGTCTATGGGTAACGTTATACCGAAAACTTAACGATATCACGTACATACGTTAACTAACGCTAACTACGTCGTTAAGTGTGTGTGTGTGTGGATTTTTGTGGGCACACGCGCCAGGCTTCCAGCAACAGGACTTGGAAAACGGAGGAGCTCCCAGGACTTTGGTAATCAAGCTCTTGGGTTCCTCGCTGTTGCGTTCATGCTGGGAAAATTTACATTTTCAATGTTCCACCCGCTGGCCGCGACCGTCCGCATTCCGGAGGCAGTCAGGTGTGTCCTGGAGGTCCCTCTAGGACTACGACTCCACTTGTAATCAGGATCACGTCGGTCCCAAAACATGAAGCTTAGTTAAATGCCGCTAATTAGGCCTGCTTCTGGCCATTGGGCGCTATTAAAAGCCAAGCCAAAGTCCATAAAAACCCGCACCGCACACACATGGCTAACATAAAGCTAAAGGAAAATCGTATTTGCTCTGAGTTTTCAGCAAGTGGGAGAGTGGAAAGGCGCATAAGTCGCAGGGGGTAGTCGCACACACATTTTAATTATGTTTGGGTCAATGCCAGCCGCCAGTTGCGGAGGAAAGCACTTGCCAAAAAGAATCTATTTCCAACGGGGAATTGCCAGCGACAGTATCTACATCGCACGCGGGGGGGGGGAGGGGAGGAGTAAGGGGGAAAAACAATAAACATAAGCGCAATATTTTATATTTCCGCAACAAGGAGCCAGCGGGAAAACTGTCAACCAGAACGGGCTAGCACATGAGAACTATCAAAGGAAAAGCCAATCTGTTGCCAAATGGCCAATTCCATTGAGCGGAATGTACGGCTTTTTGGCTTAAAGCAAATTTTGTTTTTAGCCTCGTCTCGCGCACTTTGTAGCTCATGAATAATCCTTTCAGGCTTAATCGACTCCCGCGTCCGAGGGCCTGAAATCAGTTTCAAATTCTAAATAAATATGCAAATTACGCTGCGAAAAGGTGTCCCCAAAGGGTACAACATTAGACCCTTGCCAGGGAGTACAGCCAGCCTCCTTGCGTTTTAACAAAATGCTTTTGTCACCTACGTAATCGATTAAGCGATAAGGTGTTTGTATACACTTACACAATGAAAGGCTCAACAAAGGGCCCACGGCCACGGGCAGCGACAGCAACAGACAAAAGGACGCTGCGGCAGACCTTGGCCCTTAGCCCCCGAAAAGGGGCTTTCAAATTGAATTTATATGGCTGCTAAAGTTTACAAATATATAAATGAATACACATAAATAAAGGCCAAGCCGGAATTTAGTGGAAAATATTTAAAATGGTCTGTACATTAGCGTGGGATTTTCAATATTCGGTGTACAAAAGGAATGTGTTCAAGGCTTAAAGCTTATAACAAACTATCAAACGGGAATTAGGCACGCACCCACACACTCACACACACACACACACACACACACACACACACACACACACGCGTGACACACACTAACGAACGACTGCACACGCACACACTAATTATGCAAATGTGTTTGATTGCGAAACTGGCGAAAGCAAAAAGTAGGCAGCACTTTTCGGATCGCTACTTTTAGAAATCCAAAGACCCAAAAGGAGAAACGAAATGGTTTATGTTTACAGGAGTCTCGACTGACGCTTACCCTCTGTTTTTTTTGGTTCACTCTCCCAAGAGAAATATTAAAGTTAAACAAGAAAATACTTACAGAGTTTCTTCGATGACAGTTTCCTTCATACTTCATTTGATATTCTAGTGGAGATAAGAGAGAGAAAGATTGTCTTAATAAAATTGTAAAATGTGTAATTGAAAAGTGTTCTATTTAAGAGCAAACAAACCCACCAATATACCCAACTCGGCCATCTTCCGAGGGTAAAAGAACAACAAAAAATTTGCATAATTATGCAATCTACGAATGCTACAAACACACACACGCACACAGGGGCACATTTTGTTGGCTAATTCGAAACAGAAAAGTTTTCAGTAGCCCCCCGCCAGAAAAAGCGTTTCGTATCTAAAGCATTTGGTCAGCAAAATGATTTGAGAAACCAACGAAACGAAAGGGAAATGCTGCAGAAAATTTAATGGAAACTAAACATCGAAAAAAGAACAGAAAGAATTGCTTAAATTGTGGGAAAAACTGTTGACTGGATTACTCTTTTTGCTCGAGTTTCTCGAGAACCTTGGCAATTTCCTTCTTAAGGGCCACCGCACGATTGACCAACATCTTGGCCAGCAGTGCATGCTTCTCGGCCATTGCCTGGGCATCGTGATCCCGGAACTGCGATTCGCTTGAGCTGCGAGATCTCTTGGCCAACTTCTTGGCCGCTTCAACGGCCTTGAAAGCCTCGGCCAGGGCCCGATTTGCCTGCTTGTGGGCGGATAGATAGGCGGCCTCCAGTGTCTCAATGCGATTGGTCTTCAACTTCTGTGCCTCCTCCACGGAGATGGTCGCTTCGTTGAGCATTGAGGCGGCATCTTTGGCCATGTCGAAGACCTGTTTGGCCAAGTCATCTGTGGTTACACTTTCCACCTCCACTGGTGGCGGTTCAGACTTTGTTTTCTTTGCCTTTGCTGCAATCTCCATTCGGGGATAGACTGTGATTGGATCACCAGCGGCATCTGACTCCCTGGCTTTAGCTTTCGATTCTTTAACCTTGTCCTCTCCTGTCTCTAAATTCTGTGAATCGCTCTCCCAAATTCGAGTCGGTTTGAAGGCACCTTCCGTAGCTCCTACCTTCTGTTCCTTGTACTCTTTTGGATACTGATCGAAGCTGAATATGTCAGTGCCTTTCGTGCCTATCATTCCCATCCCTTGGCTGGAGTTCCCACCTTCCGGCAGCTGGTTTAAGGCGGCCTTCTCCTGGGGTTTGCATGGATCCCTTGTTCCCTTTTTGTCGATTATTTTCGTTTTTTGAACCGACTCACAGGTGGAAATCGAATTGGCAAAATCCCCATTGGCTGCATCTTCAAATTGAAGCTTTTCTTTCTTTTCAGTGGATTTCTTTTCACATTCGCTTTCCGATTCCTCAGCCTCACATTTGTGCCGCTCCTCGCAGTACTTCTCGGGGGACTCTTGCTTGTCCCGCGACTGACACTCGGAAATCTTTTGTTTTTTCTGCTCCTTGCATGGGATGTCATTGTCGTCGTCGTCTTCGCAGTCGTCCCCCTCTGGCGTTTTCTTGGTATTGCGTTTGCTTTCCATTTCATTGCACCTCTTGCGCTTTTCCTCTAGCGAATCATCGTCCTCGTCATCCGATTCGATGCTGAGATTCACATGCTTCGCCTTCACATCGGGATTTGTTTGCGATTCTTCGCCGCGAATGATGGTCTGCGTGCAAATATTCTTCGAGTGCTCCCTGCGATGGTAATGATCGTCGTCTTCGTCTTCTGATTTGGGTTTGGATTTGGCCAATGCTGATCCGTCTGTTGGCTTCTCTGTGGCTTCTTTTGGTTTCGCTTTGGCAGCTCTGGTGGATGCTGCTGCGTCGTGCACCTGTTTCGCCACCTCTGAGATCTTGGCCACAGCGACAGTGAGTAACTGTTGCACCTTTAAAGCCAGTTCTTTGACCATTTCTGTGCCTTTCTCTGTCATTTCCTCAACGGCCTTTGAAGCTTCTTCCTTCTTTGGGGATGCAGTCGATTCTGCTGGTTTCTCCTTCGGTTTTGCCTCAGTGGCTGCTGGGGCAGGTGGCATCGGCCGTGACTTTGGCGGCTCTTTTGGCTCTTCTCGCTCTTCCGGATGCAGAGCCGTTGGGTCCGAGGGTCCTGGCATCTGCTCCTCGGGTGTGTGCGGCCAGAATGTGGGCTTGTTTATGAAATCGGGTGCCAAATGTGGTCGATGCTGGCAGAACTGCTCCATGGTCATGTCCTGATACGGCATCATGGCCTTCAGTATGTCCAGCTGCTCATTGAGCGCCTTGATGCGCTTGTCCGACTCCTCCTTGTACTCGCGAATCTTCTCGCAAATCTCCTCCGTCTCCTTGTTGACCTCCTCGTAGTATCGCCGAGTGCTTATCATGGCGTGACGGTTGACGAACAGGGTATCCAGTTTATCGTACTTCTGCTCGAATTGCTTCACCCAACTGACAAACTCTGGCCGCACATTCTTTCGATAATAATCCCAGTCGATTTTCGGCATGGCATCGGGATACTTGCGTACGCGACTGTGGGTAGGACAATTACTCATAAGTATATTGCATCTATGGATCTGTGGCTCTGTCTATGGCTTACGCTCTGTACTCTTCATTCCGTTTCTTGAACATCTGAAACTGTGGCAGCTGATTGGGCGGCACTCGCACCAGTATATCCGACATATTCATCAGTTTGGATGTCTTTGGTGGTTTCTTGTCTCCTCCGTCATTTTTCTTCCCATTCTTCCCCTTCTTAATGCAGTTCACAAAATTCTTCCAATTGACCATCTCTGTGTGGCTTATTCGTAGTAAAAAAATATAAGATATGTGGAGCAAATATATTAAATAAATATATTTTTGTATATTTCTGATGTGTGCTACTTTTTGAATGATCAAATGGAAAGGGGGGCCAGTTGGGCCAACTGTGTGAGTGAGCGGGTGAAAAGGTGAGTGGCATGAAGCATCCTTCGATTTATAGCCTGCAAAAATTGCATATTCATGCAGTTTCAATTAAATCAGAGCTTCAGGGAGCAGCAAGTGGACCAAGCAGCAGCATCATCTAACTGACAATAAAATCGAAAATCGAAAATTAATTCCATGTCAGCAGACGCAAGAAAGTTAAATGTAATTGCTAGGATAGGGATCCTTCCAATACGGAGCTGCGAATCGAAGCGAAATGTAAAATCACAAGCAGCAGCAGGCGTTAAGGGGAACGGGAGCAACATCATCATCGTCTTCGTCTTCAAGAGTCAGGGAGAGAAGCCTGAAAATGTTCGCAAAGTGACAAACGCAATTTATAACGCAACGAAAATGGGCTAATGCCAATTCTCCAGGTAATTGTCGTTGTCGCTCTCCCACTCTCTCACAGCAGCGAGCAATGGCAAGGAGATGAAAGAGGAGGGCATTGAGCATGAGAGAGCCTTGAAAGCAACCCTTGCTAAAAACTCCCAGGTTCCCCAGGTGCTCTTGGCACAACGAAACGAAATGGAAACGAAATGAGGCAAAACACAGTCTTGCTTCTGCGCTCTGGCAACGCTCCAGCTGTCACTTTGACAGCTCCCGTCGACCCTCTTGCGTTGCTCTGCCGTACATTTGTGCTGCCAGATGTTCATTTCAAAGGACAAACTGGCAATGGAACGCAGCGAGAGAGCGCATATGTATGAAATGGAACACTGGGCAAGAGAGAGCGCTACGAAAAGAGAGAGCGGAGCGCGCCTTCGTCTGTCTGTCAGTAATTTTTTGTGCATCTGTACATTTTTCGTGTATTTTTGTTTTTTCGCAACATTAATTCGTTAAAAAAGTTAAGTGCAATTTGAACAATTAGGCATGCAAAGGCTCATGTGTGGACAATGTTTGTGAGTGGAGCAAGGTCTCTGGAAGCGCAGTCCTAGCTAAATCCGCAGCAGAGTCCTGCGAGGAGAGTCCTGTCCTGTCCTGTCCCCCGTGCGTGGAGTGCGCGTGTGTTTGTATCTGTGTTTACATTTTTTTCCCCTTGGTGCAAACTTAAAACTGAACAACAATTCAATTGTTTGCAGCACAAACATTAATCGCAGCTTAAAACTGACTCGATTTGAGGTAAGTTTACAAAAAAATTGGACTTTGTGGGCCATTTCTGTTACATTTCACCCAAAATATGTGGGTGTGAGCCTGTGCGTGTTAGTATGTGGGTGTGTGTGTCTGTGTGTTTATGTCTGTATACAAACATGTGACTCTGTGCATGAAATGCTAAGGCGCAGGGAAAAGTCAAAGGAATACCTGTGCAAGATTTGGCATGTGGCAAGCCCTTGGGCTTGGTCTTAGGAAAGAAAACTATGTATGGAGGATGTAGCAAATACATAAAATATGCATAAAACTCGCAATGAGAAGAATCGTACCAAACGTGTAGAATTTATTTATGTTATTTCAAAGATTTTTAGGGACATTCCAAGACACTTTTTTCAGTGTAGAGTTCAACGTTAAACAAATTGGGTTAAAATCTCTATAAAATAATACTATGCAAACGATACAGTGAGCCAGTACTAGGGTCTGTCTTTTCCAAATAAACAACTAAAATGAATCTAAGAGCAAGCTTCCAACAATGTTGAAACAAATTAGATCCCAACATTCGTGCAGCTGCCATGTATTACCCCGATAAACCCTCATTGTGAGGGTCTAACGTAATGAAACTCATCAAAATTCCCTTAGACCACAAAACGAAACTGTATAAATCTACTAATTGACTCGAATGATGATTGTGTACAACTTTTCCTGGGGTATGGCATAGAAACCAGATGGGAAACCTCTCCCATCCTTTCTGGACAAATAGAGTTTACTGCGGATAATGTGGATAAATAAATTTCCAAAGCTGCTGCTGCCTCTGCTGCTGCTGCTGCTGCCGGTTGATGGCTTAGAATTTTAATGTAATTTATTTTTGGTTGCGGCAGAAGCGGAACAGCAAGAAGGAGCGGCGCGGTGTGGCGCCCAGAAACAAATAAAACATTGGACCAACATAAAAATTTATATGCAGCGTAATGGCTTATATGTATGTACCCATCGTATCGCCATGGGCCATAGGCCAGGGACTTGGATTGGCCGCTTTGTTAAGCATTTGGCCCCGCACTCTGCCGCAGCAACAACCCCTTTTGGAGGAGCAACTTTTAAAGTGTGCAATTTAAATGAAAATTTTCCCGTTCCTTAGGCCCCACCGCCGCATAGAGCCGTGTCTTGCCACGCAAGCGGACTAGCAAGTAGCACAACACACACACACACACACACACACACCCAAAACTACATATTTATGAAGAGAATGAGAGAGAGAGAGATGGCAGAGGTTCTTCTCCCTTTTTGGCTTTGCCAAGTGATTTTATGCTAATATTATGGGTCATTGGGATTTGCGCAGAGCAAAGTGCTTGTTAAACATTTCATTAGACTTAGTGTAAATACCCGCGCGGTTAACAGGGCCTCGTAAAGCAAGGACCCTCAGCCCACAATCCTCCCTTCACTGCACACACACACACACAAACACACACACACACACATACAATCGCCCAAACCCCTCCACCCTTCCGTGCTTGTGGCGTGGATCCGAAAAGTTTCCTTTTGAAATTGAAAGTGTTGATGGAAGCGAACCAGAGCGCCGTGTCTTGGGTCATATGCTGCCATATGGCGACCATGCTACAGTGCGTTTCATCAAGATGCGATTTAGATTTAGAAACATTTTTAAATAAAACAAAGATTATTCAGTAAAATAATCGATTTTCAATCAAATCAGTTCAGAAATTGCTCTAATTCTGTTTTCCATTTCATTCCTCTTACGGTCATGTCGCGCACTGTGCACACTCTAGCCCTAGGCCATGCATCGTTTGTGTGTATGTGTAATTATACAGCAGCTGCTGTCAGTCCAAAATAAAAATAAAATTTATCAAAAATAATCAAAAAAGAAAGGGAAAATGGAGAGAGGAAAGAGGAAAGAGGAACGAGGAGCCCCGAAATATGACTTTCATTTTAATGCCAAAATCATGTCATGCACAGATGTGACCACCTCTGACCCCACCATCAACCTCATCCACATATTGCACAACTTTCCGAATAAACTCCAAGTGTATCGTATCACTGTTCACTGTTATATTGGATTCGTGGGCATGTGATGCTGACAGAATGGATTTTTGATCAACTGTCGACGCTTGAGCGACGCGTCACTCAAAATTCTGCAATTAGTTATTGATAAATCAGAATCTGAGGCATGTGGCATGTGGCATTGGAGGAGGCATCGCATTGAGACCTGAGAGCATGAATGAAATATGAGAATTGTCACACTTTAAAGCGTTGAACGTTCCTTTTTGCGCCTCTGCAGCACTGTGATGATGGTGTTGCCGTTGCTGTCTGCAATAATTGGAAAAATTTCCATTTGTCCTTTTTGTCCTTTGCGCCATATGACAGGAGAGGAAAATGGGGGGCGGCGGCGAACAGACCGGGGTAAAAACTGGACCAGGGAGCAGGACAGGACAGAACAGAGCAGAGCAGGCAGCGGACTGGCTGGCTGTAGGCCAGAGGCCATGAACAAACGAGGCTGTAGGCTCGCGCGCATTTACCATCTGTCACTCTGGCACTCGTGATGAATGTGTTTGACGTGTGGCTCAGGGTGCCACCTCCTGCGCCCCATCAGCGGCCATCGTCAGCCATCGTTGGCATAGCGCTCTCGCCCTCGTGGAGGTCCTTCGCCATACCGCATGACGTTGCATACTTTGCGGCACTGCCGCCCAGTGAATAATGTGCGTCAGACAGAGCCCACAGCCCACAGCCCGCAGCCCATCGATGGCTGCCAAATCTTTATATTTTCGCTTGGCAAATCGCGCACAATATATCCCCAATGGTAGCATAAGGTTTGGGCGCACCAAAGACTTCGACTAGATACAATATTAATTTCCTATTATTTCATTTCATTTCATTTCAGCACTGCCAATCCTCTCGAAGAAAGAGGGCCAATCGCTGCCAAAAGTGTTGATACAATCCACGTTTAAAATGTTTGTTGAATACCTGATGCTGGGCGCCTGCCTGCTGCTGGCACTCTCGACGCGACAGATATGTGCCATGACCGAGGAGCTGTCGCCGGGTAAGTTCCCATAGAGTATATTTCTAGAGCGCTGTTTGCAGTTGTGTTTGTCTGCTGCATTATGCAGAAAGAAATCGCAACACGAAGAAGCGGCGAACACACAGAACACAGAGTAGGTCGCAAATCTATAATGCAAATTTATGCGCGTCTCAATGCCTGGGTTGGCAACTCCATCAGCGAACTAGTTGCACGGATTATAAATAAACAATGGATACAAGGCAGCCTTGAAGGCAGAGGAAACCTATCTACCTCCTCTGGTTGTAAGGGAAAATCAATTTTAATTATGCAAATGTCCGAATGAGACTTCAAGCCACGTTTCAGGAACCCAAATCATGGGCATCCAATCCAATTGGCTTAAAGCTCATTATAACTGCATTAGCATTTTGGCCAAAAGTGTCCGTCAGTTGGCCAGAGAGCCACTCCATTATAAGTAGACAACAAGAGCAGCCAGCAGCAGCCATAGCTGTGGCAGTTCTTACGACTTTGGAGTACCTTCGGATCACACAAATATCCACAATGATGGAATAAAAACTGAAGGTGCCAAAAGACAAGAGTACACCAGTTCCATCTGCCAGTAGTTGCCAAAAGCAGTCCCAAGCATCGAGCATACCCATAATCCTACTGGATATAAAAAGTAAAATTTTCAATTTCCCTGTGGCCCGATGGATGGAAAATCTCCTGCAAATGATGATGAATGTGCCCTGACTGTGACCCAAATAAATTTGTCAATTTATCATTTGCCTAAAATA